TTTGGTGTTAAATTTGACAAGAAAGAACGGCGTCTCATCAACACAAGAATCTATGAAGTAAACACTCTTGAGCAAAACACTCTCAAGAGATGAAAGAATGCATCAGTGAATTGGAACGAGTAGCTAGGATACAAAGCTAGATTGCAACACTAAACTTGCACATTGATCAAATCGGAAAGAACCGATCAAGGAGGAAGGAAACTTTAATTATCAAAACTGCTCAATTTCAAGTCGTCGCTCTCCATCAACTTAAAGGATTAAGTGACGTGTCGAAAAGTGGAATGGACAAATATCAGGAATTCAACCACGCGGAAGTCCGAACGAATATCATCTCGAAACTGAAATCTTCATGAGAATTTCGAAGTTAATACTGATTTTGAATTTGAAACTGACAAGAGTCAAGATAACTTATGGAAACAAATCAATAACCATCGGGTCGAAATAAATACTTCCCAAAAACTTCAAAGTCAACTTTACCATCGATCTTCATATTGATAAACATCGATAATAGAAACATGAATTCCATCCATCAAGTGCTCCAGGAAAATTGAAACGGACTCTAACGTCAAATTCTCAAGTGCAACTGTATCATGTAGTAACTAATATTGTACGACATGTCCCGACACAAAACTGTTAAAAGAACAATACAACTCAATAAAAATACACACAGGCTCGATTTCCCATAGAATTCGAAGCTGTGCTCTGATACCAAAAACTGTCACGACCCCAAGGATAGGACCGTGATTATTTTAAAATTTAACTTAATTAAACTGGACTGTTTAACTAAATCACAAAATAATTACATAAATATCAATATAATTTGCTCCGGAGACTTTCTTTCACAAATAATATTTAAAACAATCCATTAAGTCCAAGAAAAATAGTACAACTCAAGGACAATGTCGACCAATACAGTTTGCATACAGAAATACAGTACATCTCAGAATTTAAAACCGTAAATCCAAAACAAACGCACCGCTTTGAATCTCGCATCTTCAATCCATTGGCATCCACTTGTCACGCTGTAAATCTAAACTGCTAACTCTGGAGGAGGGGTTTAAAACATTGAAAACATAATAAAAGTGAGCGGAAGGCTTAGTAGGATATAATTTTATAAAACATTTTAAATAAAGGTACTCACGATCCGAAGACATACACCCGGAACCGATCATCCTTTTTAGAAAAGGAAATACTCACATAGTAGAAAATATCTGTATAATGAAAGTGTGCAGCTCAATATACCACTGAACAAGGAGCGGCAAAATGTCTGTCTAGTGAAAAGTGCAGAGCCATAATTCTACTGAGCAAGAAGTGGATCCGTACGGGTTTCGGGACCTGCCCCCAAGGATGCGATTCCCACATCCCGATCTCTGAGGCCACCATGCGTTGTATCATTCCTTAAAGTATTTCATTTTAAGAAATGATACTCTTTAAAATCTCATTTTCAAAATCATTGGAAAACTTAATAGCATTCTCATGCTATTCCTTTGAAATCATTTTCTTTAAACATGTTTTGTTCTAAAACATTTTCATTAGCCAAAATCATTTAAAGTGAGGCTAACAAGGATATGGACAAAATGTCAAACCTGGGCTAGCCTTCAGTTCTCCTAGCCTCCGCTTTCCTTAAAGCCTTAATACTTGACCTTCTCCACTAGCTTTATCACAAAAGCAATATCTTAGGAAGTATTTCTCATTCCTAAAACGAATTAAGTTCAATCATGTTTAATTGTTTCCTATTAGTGTGCCTTGACTCAAATCCAAGTTTCACAATGATTTTATAATTCAGTTTGGGGGTTCTTTAAAAATTAGAATCCAATCCATAGGTTTGGTTTTCCTATTTAATTTCAGTTTAAAAA